TGTTTGTTTATACAAGCAATGGGTACAGTCAGAAGCGCGGGAGGGTGAGAGAATTCACCAGAGCCAGAGCAGGGAGCAGAGCAGGCAGCAGGACCGAAGTACACTGCTGAGGGGAGCAGCGGGCGGCAGGAGAGGTCTGCGCGCCATGTGGGACCCTCCTCCGGTGGCCAGGGAGCAGCCGGGGATCGAACCGGCGCCGCAGAAATTGCATTTGTTCAACTTGCAGCACAAATTCCCTGCACTCTCCTCCTCACCTCAAACATTTGAAAGAAGGTGAAATTATAATACTTACCTAAACAGTAGTAAATTATATGCATATAATATGTAATATATGTGTTAAACATACAATTATGTGAATTCAGCTCTATAAAAATCCACACAAAATCGTGAGCTCTCAGATTATATACACAAATACTCATCATGTATACATATATGTAAATCAACTAAATGCAAAGAAATTACATATTTAGTGGTTGATCTAGGTCATCTCCATAACAATTAAATGTTGGTTAGTTGGATCCAGATGTCTGGACCTAAGCAATTGTCAAAATTCAATTAGCCTTTAGTTTTTTTTTTTTTTCAAAATGAATTATTACATGGTTTCAAGGAAAATTTTAGCCCAGAATTTTAGCCCAGAAGAGTGCTGAATGGCAGAGATGAAACTGTGGTTTCATCTGGCTATTATTGAATTTGTCTATTTTAATGAAAATGTTTCTCATTTATATATTGTAATAAATATTTCTTAAAAATAAATGTTATGCAGTAAATTTGAAGATAACAAAAGGTTCAATATTAATATGGAAGCCAAAAAATGTAATCACAGGATTAAAAGAGGAAATACATTCTAACTAAGCACATCAATATCTTTCTTTAGGGAAATGTTTAGCTATCAACATTTGTTTAGTTAATATTTCAACAATTAGCCTGCACATCCTATAGTCTTTCTGTACACTAGAGAAAAAACATATAGGAGCATATATATTTTTATGCATAGATCAGTAGTTTTAACTGAGAGTTTATGTAAGAAATAGAATCAAACATCATTCATTGTCTTATAGGCGCTTTGGTTGATGCTTGATGCTTTAATTTTATTTAGATTATTTTATATTAATTTCAGAAGAGTAACATTTTTTCCTGGGGAGAGTCTAATATTTAGAAATGTTTTCTTTGATAAGTTAACTATTATTTAATATGGACACAACTATGTTTTATATAATTATTATAATAACATGTAATATTGGTTTGTAACTGAGTCAAAATCCCTCATATGAAACAGTCCATTCTAGGCATTTAGTCGGTATTTGATTGAGGAAGGTATTTTGATTAAAAGTGCTACTTTAAACATTATTTACAACTGGAAGTTTTTCTTGGAACAATTGTCAATGTCCTTCTTTCTGCATTTAAACACATCAGACAAACATTTCTCTTTTTATACTGAAGAAGGAAAAAGAACTTTCCGGCAGTTGGCTGTAATTATCTCTTTTCATTCAATGTTGTTTATGCAGTGCTTTATTTTATGTAAGTTATTTTCATATACACTGCAAAATGACCAGGCAGAAGAAATAGACAAAGTGGGAGAGATATGAATATTTTGCCTAATGTATATTAACCACACCACTTAATTGATCTGATGTCATCATATATAATTTAAATCAGCCTGTTAGATGGTTTTGTCATTTAAAATTCAAGTAATGAAAACTATCAGCATTTTTTAAACTTATTTTAACAAATGGAGGTCCTCTGCACATATCCTGGATTGTAGCAGATGGTAGCTACATGCGTGGAAAAGATATTGCAAAGAAAATATTAATATGCTTCATATGACTACAGATAGAGAGCTTTTAATATGCCAAGTTATAATTTTAAATTTGAAACAATATTACTACTTTTGTTTGTGGCATTTCCTGCTCTATCTGTAGAACCACTGGGACATCAAAAGCAAATTGTCTTTCATGGAGGAAAGTGATAAAAAGTTAAGAGTTCTTAAGTCTACAAGTAAAATTATGTCTTGGCTTCACTCATCAAGTGGTTCCATGATCTTGTCCTTAACTTTCTCAATAATAGTCTTGCTCTTTTTCTCTCATAACTAAGAAAATACTATATAGTTATTATAAGTGTTAAATGGGAATAAATATGCAAATCAGTTTACATTTTGCATGACACATTTATTTAGGTGTCAATAGTGCCATCATCATCACATCAATTGGATGCATTTTCTGATATCTCAGGAACTATTTTGCAACAATAAAACAGCAAACTATGCTTGCATGACATAAATGTATTTGCCATTTAAATGGATTTATAGAAGGGAATGGATGGAAAGGCTGTGCTTAACAGTCTTATATATATAGGCACACACATAACACCCAAGCACACGCACACTATTAGTAATATAGTGTGAGAAACTTATGCATTTTTAAGCAAGCAAAAATGTAGCTCATGAAATTCATCAGTAGGAATATTTTATTTTCAGCATAATTGCTGAATAGGCATGAATGAATATACTAGTTGTGGGGAAGTTTTTCTTAAGTATTTATGTATGGACCATATTTTTTTTTAACCTTTCATCCAAAAGACTATTATTAAGTCATAGTTGTGGTTTAACTGTCCTATATAAGATGTTTTCCTGCAAAAAGAACATTGACTTCCTAAGAGATGAATTTTATGTTTATAAATGTCTTCTGTCTTTTCCTCTGAAGGATGTAATTCAAAATGACAGTAGAGTAAAAAGGGCTTGGCACACAGGCATGTAAAATTTCAAGGGGATTAATTTTTTATTCATGAAAAATGTGAAAACTGTCTTCTTATGATTTGAAAATATCTCTTACCTATTATAGTTTCAAACTGTAGATCAAATATGCATGTTGCAAAAACAAAATAATTTGTTCACAGTATCTACTTGGTATATTTCTTTTGTCTTCTCATTTGTTTCAGAATGAAAACATTTTAACATATGTCATATGGCTGCTGCAGATGTGATCTAAAATATATGGTTCTGAAGTAGCAGATAAAAGAAATTATCTTTTCATTTTCATACTATATTAAGTTGAAGGGATTTGAACTTCAGAGGAAAAAAATACCTGTCATTTAATTTCATTTGTCTTGAGCAAGTTTTTCAAGTCTCTCTAAGTAAATTATTTAGTGTAAGCTCCAGTTTTCTTAACAGCAAAATGTGGGAAATGCAGATAGCAGGGTTTTGTTGTGAAAAGGAAAACAGTAGACTTTCCTGACAGCACACAAATGCTCTAAAATGTCTAATATCCTTATCCCCCACCATCCTTTTTAGTGGGTCTCATTAGTTACCTACAGATTTAACACTGGATACATTTCAAACAAAATAACCACTTCACCCAGATTCTCATTTCATTAGCTAAGATCTGGAAGGCATCTTCCTGTGTCAGTGGGACTAAGAGCCTATCATGGCTTCCTAGGCATGCTCTAGTTTCTCTCCCAATGAAACATTTTCATGCCCCTATTCTCCCACCTATTTTTCTAGGTCCCTGCTCAAACCTCTGCAAACTGCCATTTATTTACACCTACAAAAGCAGTATACACCTGGCCTGATTTTATATCCCTCATCTGAAAATCTCTCTATCTTCCTTGTGAACAAAAATATTGACACTAGAAATCTATACTATTTCTTACAGCCTAAACTGGACATATTTTATATGTATAAAATGAAAACAAGATTCAAGTTCACAATGTCACCTTTTGTATAAAAGTGGAGCCCTCTTCCAAACTGGCCTCCTCACTTAGCTATTACAGCTTGCCTCACATAAGGAATGAAAAAAAAAATCAATGATTTTTATTTAGGAACATATTCTTTATTAATGACATATGCTAGTGAATTAAATGCATTATTTCTGCCTTCATTTTAATATTTACTTATATTTTTTCCATCTCCTTAATTGCAAAGTAAGGGAAAGTGTTGCTCTAAAATACTAAGTGTGATTAATCATAACATATTATATATTGGTTATATCTCAAATACATTCTATTCTAAAGCATAGGGATTTCTAATTGACACTTTTACAATATTTTGTGGTTAGACTATATGACTGCTAAATAAAAATATTTCCACAAGAAAATATAGGTTGTAATTTTAAAATAATGGCAAAGTAGTAGAATTTGAAAACCCCTACAGGTAAAGGAATAAAATATTTAATTAAATATTCTCAGTGATATTAAATTTTGTGGATGGACTCAAAATCTCCTAGAGTTGGGAAAGGCAAGCAATTTATAAAAGAAAAAAAAACTGTTCATGCAAATGAATGTCTAGCAATTTAATCAAGTTTCTGAAAATACCGATAAAAGAAACATTCATTTTTATATTTTAAGTCCTAGGAACATTGAAATAATCCTTGAAAATATAACAGAAATTGACAGATACTGATTGGTGTTAAATGTGATACTGCAGAAGAAAACTAGATGTAACACAAGTGAGAAGTACTCATTTTCAATAAGAAACACAGAGTTACAGAGAGGATACAGGTGTGAATCAATCTATTATCATAGAAACTATGGCAATTTTCACCTATTATAAAACTAAAATAAAATAGAACTAAAGTAATGTAAAGAGCAAATAGCCTCACTGTAATATCATCTAACACTTAAACAAATCTATGAGAATGATTCAACACATGTAATTGCTAAACAGTAAGCAGAGAAATATTATACTAACCATATGGTATAAGAAATAAAATGGTAGCATATATAAAAGAGCCTTAAATTATACCAGAATTTTCAGATTTATATTACTTTTGCAATTAATAACAAATTAGAACAAGATCCCAAGTTATTGTGAATATTTAAGTTTAACTGGAATCATAGGAGTCATTCTGCACAGGATTTCTAGAATGGAAAATTAAAATACTAAAGAAATGTCATATTAATCCATTATTTTCCACTTCCTAATGATCAGAAGTCTGAAAATTATTATAATTTATGTAAGAATTTTTTTTTAAGTTGCTCTAATATAGACTTAATGGGAAAGAACATACTTTTGGGGAATCGAGGTGGATTGTCATTGACATCAGTGAGGGTGATGTTGACTATTGTCGTTCCGGCTAATCCTCCCAGTTGCCCACCCATATCCTTGGCTTGGATGAGGACTTGGTATTGTTCTTTGACTTCCCTGTCCATGTTTGGCAAAGCTGTTCTAATAACACCTAAAGAGAAAAAAACAACAAGTATAAATATCACAAACGTGTTTTGCAAAACAAAATAGTCCACAGCAAGAAAATGATTCTATCTAGATTCACTAACAAAGATATGGCTAATGAAATCTATGTATGCTTTAAAAAAATATCCAATGGTTAGGAAATAATTAAATTATGGAAAATGATAATTTATTATTATGAATTTCATATGATAAAATTCTGTGCAGCATTGTGGAACAGTTAAATAACAAATATCAGCTCTCAAAGAGAATCAGTATTTGTTGTTAACTAGGTTAGACATGAATTTTAAGGAATGATAGAATCATTAAAAGATAATGACATCAACATGTAGAATAAACATATATTCAAAATATGAACAGTTAAACTAAGAATGAGATTTCTAAAGAACGTCATTTTTTTCATTCTTGATTTCCTAGGATAAATATATTACTTTGTTACTTATATGCATGAAAAATCTCCATGCATATAGTTTGTCTTTTAGAATTCCTCTGAATTACTTTGGTCACACATTTTTCATTTAGATCTCATTAAGCTTTGCCATTGCAGGGACCTTGTCTCTCTTGTTAGCAAGATATTCTAGCATTTCAGGCAATGCCTGCCATTTAAAAAACAATCATGAGAATGTGTTGACCAAAAGACTAGTTAAATGATTAGCTGAATGAATGAAAAATAAATCTTTAAATAACAGAACTTATACTCATGGATCATATATACATATTTACATATCCTACTCACATTTTTGTCCTTGTGTATAAATGTAAAACTAATTTACATTTATATTTATTCATAGTGAAATAACCGAAATCTTATGGATCTGTTGCAAGTAAAATCTTACATAAATTTTATAACAAATTACAATCTATAGCCATTGGTTTTAGTGAGAGATTGCAGACCATTTGTCCTAACTTGATAGTGTTGTTTCTTTAAAATTATGTATAAGAAAAAATATCAGCTGTCAACACAGAGCACAGCATCCAAATGATGAAATGAGTGTACATGTCCATCTTATCTGTTCTATTATTTTCTTAACAAATGCTACTGTGTTGCTAATTTAGACATATGATCTTAAAAATCTTCTCACCTCTGGCAGTAAATGAATACTAAAAAAAGACAAACTCCATTTTTTTTTGTTATTCCTGTTTTATTCATGGGTTGGTACTGACACCCTTTTAATTCAGTCCATTTGTGCAGAACTTCGAAAGACTAAATAGCTGAACCAGTCTTTTTTTTTTTTCCCAAAGAGTTATTTATTTATGCATACATGAACTGGGGTACAGGCCAGAGGTGTGTGTGGGGGGGTGAGAGGATTCACCAGAGACAGAGTGGGGAACAGAACAGGTAGACTGGCATTCACTGCTGAGGGGAGCAGCGGGTGAGGCAGGAGAGGTCTGCTGCGCCACGTGGGATCGAACTGGTGCTGCAGTGGCTGCAAATAGCTTCATAGTACTGTGCTTAACCCCTTGCACCACCAGGGAGGCCCTAAAACAGTCTTAAGAAAAATAGGGCCTCCCCTGGTAGCGCAGGCAGTTGAGAGCCACGCTGTGAAGCTGTCTATAGCCTCTGCAGCGCTGGTTTGATCCCAGCCAGCTGGCGAGGGTCCCACATGGCGTGCAGACCTCTCCTGCCACCCACTGCTCTCCTCAGCAGTGTATTTCATCAGTCTGCCTGTTCTGTTCCCCACTCTGTCTTTGGTGAATCCTCTCACCCTCCCATGCATCTGGCCTGTACCCCAGTTCTTGTATAAACACATAAATCTTTAAAAAAAAAAGAAAAATATGGAAGCATCATCCCTTCTGATTTCAAACAATCCTAAAAGCTATTGCAATAAAGAAGTATGGTGCCATCATAAAAAATAGACACCACAAATCAACAGGACAAATGTTCAGTAATAAATGGTCATATATATGGTTATCTAATATTTGACATGGGAGTAAAGAATACCCAATAGGGGAAGGAGAGTCTCTTCAATACATGTTGCTGGGAAAACTGAATAACCACATGCATATGAAGCTGACGTGTGTATGTTCCCATCACAAAAAGGAAATGATAATAATGTGACATTTGGAGGTGAAAACCAACACAACCTTGGTTAATCACTTTGCAATCTATAAGTGTATAATATTAACAGGTTGTGTATCTTAAACATACATAATATGTCAATAAAACTCAATAAGCAGGAAAATGTTAACTGTTATCTAAGACTATTCAGAGAGATGATAATAGTAGAGAGAATTAGAGATAATTACACACTATGACCACCAATGAATGATGCTAGTCTCCACACACTGAAGATTAGATTTCAAAGGAGCCCTGAGTCAGCAATCTGTTCTCCATTCAGCAACCACAGTGGGGACAATGAACAGCCATCATGATATGGTCAATAGAGCAGCAAAATGGTGGGGTCAATAGCACATCCATCGTGGTAAGGTTAAAAAATGAACTAGATCACTGGGTAGTTCTGCTCTGAAATACTCAAAGATGCCCATGTCGCTCAGAGAAAGACCTCACATAACTGCTACCTTCTCACTTAACACTTTAACACCTCCACAAACTCTCCCCTTTCCTTTATACCTTTTCTCCAAAGTCTTGTCCCTCAGACTTGGCCATTTTATCTAAAATTCTATTCTGGATTAGTCTCCTATTGCTTCTGTAACAAATTATCACACTGAAACAACACAGACTTATCATCTTACAATTTTAGAGGTCAGATGTCCAGTATGGGTCTTGCTGGGATAATTCATCTTGGCAGGCTGTCCTCCCTTCTAAAGGCTCTCTATCTTCTATAAGATGCCCAAACTTCCTGTTCCTGGCTTTCTTCCTCCACCTTCTAAGGTAGCAGCATAGCATCTTTAAATCATATTTAGACTCTGACACTGCTGCTTCCTCTTATTTAAAAGGGCTCATAATTAATTTGGTCCCACCCAGATTATAAAAGTCAATCTCCCTACCTCAAGGGTGGTGATTAGCAACACTAATTCCATCTGTCACGTTATTTCTCCTTTGCCATGTAACAATATATTTACCCAGGTCCCTAGGATTGGGGCACAGACATATATGGTAGATCATTATCTGTCTACTACACATAATGCTCCCCAATATTTCATATGCCCTTTCTCTCTTTAATCATCCTCTCCTTAGTTCTATAATGCTATTATAAGCCATTATAAAAACTATTGTTATAAAAACTACATTGCTTGGGCCTCCCTGGTGGCGCAAATGGTTAGGACGCAACTTATGAAGTTGGCCGCAGCCTCTGCAGCACAGAGTTCAATCCCCGGCCAGCCAGGTTGAAGAGACCTCTCCTGACTCGCCCATTGCTCCCCTCAGCAGTACTTCAGTCAATCTGTCTGTTCTGCTCCCCACTCTGGTGAATCCTCTCACCCCCCACACCTCTGGCCTGTACCCCAGCTCTTATATGCATAAATAATCTTTAAAAAACAAATAAAAATAAATAAAAACTGCATTGCTTTTATAAAACTATATATTTCCCTTATTTACTCTTTGTTTTTTGTTTTCCCAAGTGGAATACATATTCCTAGAAGTGGTGGTTTCATCTTTATTTTGATCTTCCTGCAAGACATTTAGCAATTCTGGTTATATATTAGGGACACAGTAGATATAGTGAAGGAATGTATTGACAAATAGTAAGAGCTAAATTAATACATGGGAAATCAGCATGTATTCTTCAAGAGAGATTATGATTTAATATATAACTAGTAATCTTGGTCATTATTAACCTCAAAAATCATAAAGTAACTTAGAATAAGATGGAGTTGTTAGAGTATAGCTGGTGTGAAATGATAAAAAAAAAAAAACAAAAAAAACCAAAAACAAACAAACAAACAAAAAAAACTTCTTGATTAAGGGCTATTTTCGTATCTAAAGATCCTTCCTAGTAGCTCATAGACTACAATGTTGTCCATGCCATGATTAACCTTTTTAAATAAGGATCTGGAGGAAGTTTTAGAAAAGACATTTTACACACACATTTGTAGGAATAGCTAATAGATAGCAAAATAGCAATAATAATAATAAAGAAATCTTAACTTTAGCACTGACAATGTATTTTTTTTCTATTTTGTAGCTAAATTGCTTTAAAAATTAATGAGAGACCTGCTTTTGCAGATCACAGGAAAAGTGAATCAGTTTTACTCTATTACAATCTTAGGTTAGTCTAAAATGTGAAATGGATTTTTCAAAAGCTAGTACATTCTTAAACAATGTTAACAAAAATCTTGTGTCCATAACTACACATGTGAGACATGCAGTTTTTAAAAAGGTATAGCTAATGTATAGCCTTAGCTATGATTTAGGACTTAGAAGTCACTCCCATCCCCATCAGCCAATAGCTAGCCCGACAATTATACTATGTGGCATGGAATTGTGTCTGTACTAAATTTGAGGCCATCTTCTAAGAACCTGATCTCCCCCTGCAATAGATGATCTACTTGAGGATTTATTTGATTCATATCAGTATCCCAGTAGCAAAACACTTGTCAGTCCATTGGTACAGATGTGTACATAAAATGAATTTATCACAGCAGCACCACTATCTCAAAACTTGTCTCTTTAACACTCCCAGCCATGTGAAGCTCACGGTCTCATGAGGTGCCCCTCTAGTCGACAGATGAGCACTAACATATTTTTTTTTTAACATATGAATCCCAAATCCCTTCTTCTTGTAACTCAAACCAGCCACCTATAGTCCTTTTCCTCTCAAACAATGCAGAATACAGCTAGTGCTATTCGACAGCTTGACAACTTCCTAACGGCATGTATCACATGCCCCTGGAGTATTTCCCTTTCAGAACCAAACATTCTTCATTCTATCTGCTGATGTGAGCATTCCAGGATTTCTATAAGACAAGTGGAGTTTGCCTAGATTTCTAGTGAAGTATGACAGTGCAGATTTTCTTATCCAAGGAAATCATTGCAGTGCATTTTTAGTCATATAATTTAACGACATACATGCAAAATATTACAAAATAGGTAAAACCATGTGTTTAATATTTGCAATGATCAATTTTCCTGACAGTTTTTCTTCTTATATTAAATAGTGTCTGCTACTTTCCTAGTCTTGTTATGCCCATTATCAGTTCTTGTTTCAATTCAAAATGTATTTAAGGAGAGACAACTTGCATAACCAAATGTTCTTTCATTTTGTCCTTAAAGAAAGACGCTATTTTATGTTTCACTCACCAACAGAAATGCTATATCTGAATTCTGTAAGAATTTATTCTGAATTAATAGCAAAATAATTTACAAGCTTTAAAACATTGTAAATATTTATGCAGTATTATAAAATATTAGCTCAAATTATAATGATTTATTTATGCCTTAATTTTACAATGGGGCTTAAAACATAAACATACTTTTAAATTCCTAAAATGAAGTCAAGATATGGAGGATATTTTTTTTATGACACAGTCTTTGTCATTTTAATTTGTCTAAAATCTGTTTAGACAACCTTAAAGAACAAAAATCATGAGAAAATACTAGTTCTCTGAGTTACCACTATAATATTTATCAAAATGAACAATGGTATAAAAATTTAAAAAACTATAAAATAATAAAATAATAATTAAAAAAAATTAGGGCCTCCCCGGTAGCGCAGCGGTTAAACACTGGCTGAGAAGCTGCCTGTAGCCTCTGTAGCACCAGTTCGATCCCCAGCCTCCAGTTGAGGGTCCCACATGGCACAACAGAACTCTCCTGCCACCTGCTGCTCCCCTCAGCAGTGTACTTAGTCCGTCTGCCTGTTCTGCTCTCTGCTCTGTCTTTGGTGAATTCTCTCACCCTCCCATGCTTCTGACTGTACCCAGTGCTTGTATAAATCAATCAATCAATCAATCAATCTTTAAAAAATATATAAATAAATAAATAAAATTTTAAAACCCAAAATTAGGACAGGATCATAATACATAAAATATCAAAATGGAGAGTAAAGTAGGGGGGAATAGCTCTATGCACAATTCTAGATTCACATTCATAAGACAATTGCAGTCACATAATTTAATAGCAATATATTACTATATACATTATATTATTTTTATCCATTTAATGTGTACATTTTATTAGTATTTATCCATGTTAATATTTATGGTATAGTGATTAATTTTAGTTTGTCCACAACAATTTTATTTAGTCTAACTGCAAGTTAAATATATAAAATGAAACTTACAAAGGACTCATTGATTTTGATAACACATCCAGATAAACTATATATTGAAAAATTTCTGGAGACGGATGGTGTGTCATTTGCACAACAGTGTGTAAGCATTTGATGGCACTGAATTATATGCTTAAAATGTGAAAATACTAAATTTTAAGTTATGTGTAATGTACAATAGAAAAATTTAAAGATATCAAATGCTATTGCAATAAAGCTGTATCTCATGCTTTTTCAATTAGGAATCAGATCATTTAGCAAAACACAGAATATATTCAGCATGTAAGACACAAAATAGCAATATTGATTAACCTAGATTAGTTTTTGAATATATTTAGGGAAAATTTAAATACTTTAAAAGAGTTTTAAATATAAAGTAAGGCATGGAGCAAATAAAGTAAAATATTCATAGTAATGATTGTCTTTCTAAGTGAAGTAATTCTATTGTCAATGTTATGGAATATTTAGCATCTTGATTTCATACACTGAATAAAATATCACTATGCCTATCATTTAAGATTTTCTATATTACAAATATTTTAAATATACAAATGTATGAAACTAATAGATTGCCAATATGAAGGCATAATCACTTTTTACAAACTTTAAATTGTGTTGAATATTTTACAGATTTTATTTATACTTTAGGGATTAAAATATCATTTAATAATTATTTGAGATATGTACATGAATAGATTAGAATTTAAATTCCAGCAAATTATTTCATAATTTATGCCAAATAATGCCAAACTATTCAGTTTTAAAAAGAACTATTATCTCTGGGTTCATTTTAAAGAATGTATTAATTTATATTATTTATAAATAAGGTCACCATAATCATTTGGTGAATGCTTGGTCATGATAGAGATGCTAGGATAAGTAATAGCAATAATAGTAAATATGAAACCAAACAGCAATATAAATAGCAATGCAAATCTAATAGCAATATAAATAAGGGGCTATTTTTATTTTCTCATTCCAAATGAATAAAAAAAGATAATATTCATTTATCCTTTCATATTTAGATGCCAGAAGTTTTGATGAGACTCTGCCTTTAAAAATTGTTTTAAACTGTATTATACACTTAAATGTGGAAAATTTTAGATAATAATAGGTGTTCATGTATTTTATTTAACAACAGCAAAAGGAATCATAAAAGGAAGCTATATGGCTGGAACAAATGGAGACTATTTCTGGGAAATTGCAATTACCCTTGATTTTTTATTTACTCATATCTACCACAAGGTGATAAATTTGACAAAAACTCTTCTTAATGGTTTCTGTGCATGAAGAACTAATTATCATTCTATTAATGAAGTCCATCATCATCCACTCTTTTCCTGTCTAGTGGTTTGAGGCATTGTTAGTATCAAGACTTCTGTCTCCAGTAAAAATCAATGCTTAGAAAAATCTATTACATAGTTTATTCCAGAATTGCTCCACCTTTAGCTCTAAATTATAAGCAGTGTACAAATATATATGTACCAAATTATAAAGGTCATGTTATAAATATACAATATGCATGCTGTTTTGTAAAATACTTTCTGAAGGTGTTGGAATCAATCTAAAGTTGGTATCAAGTAAGTAAATTAAAGGGAGATCAAGAATTTTGACTTATATAATTTTTGTTTTGTCTTGTATTTAACTGACCACAGTAATTAAATTCTTAATTTTTGCTCTGAATTGAAGTTCATTTTTGCATGAATTTATTTTGTCATTTTTAGTTCTATGTGCAGGTATTTCAACATTAAAACCTTAATTGTTCATCTCCCACACTTTGGGGTGAATTAATAAGTATATTATAAGTGTAATATAACCAATAAGTATTCTCTAATACTGAAATCCTTCCCCAATCTCTGCATGTCTTCTTTTCTCTTTCTTTCATCACCTCCATCCTGACTAGTTAGTGCTTCTCAGAGGCTAAAGAAATCTAAGGACATACATTGTCCTTTTGATTATGTTTATTTTATATACTTCTGTTTTATTCATTACATACTATGCTAAGATAAAAAGGAAATTATATTAGAAAAAGCAACCCATAATACTCCCACCTCACAAAAGTATATTATTTCCCACAGTAAAATAGTATCAACAGCAAAACTTTCTTAACACTGATATCACCAAGCTATCTTCATCACCATAATTTTGATTTTAATTTTAATTTTATAATTTTAATTTACCATCACATGAACACTCTTAACATTTGTCCCTGTTTTATTTTGAAACCTATTTCCAAATCAAAAGAGTTTCTTTGTACTAAACCATTCTAGTTTATCTTCCACGCTGATGTTTCCTTCTTAAAGGGCTGATGTTGCCCTTAACTACATCCAATACTTTTTTAGCTCTACTCAAAGAAATATCTCTGCTTTATTCCCTTATTTTTTTGATTATTCCATTCCTCCCTACTGGTTTGATGGCGAGGATAAGAAGTGAGGGGAGAAAGGCAGGTCAGTAGACAGAAACTTTGTAGGTTCTTTATCTGCATTTGACTGACTTCTTGTTTCTAGGCAACATTAATATCTGGTTAAGTATTAATTAACCTTATCTAATTATTAGATCAGATTTTAATGCACACTTCTAAGGAAGTTTAATTTTTTAATTGTTTGACCCACTTACATGTATAGTATTTGAAATCAATACCTTTTAAATCAATAAAGCGTTTTAAAGATGTATTTACAAATTTGAAAAGTAGCTTATCCCCATATACATTAACAATTGGTTCCATTAGGTTAAGCTACTGTAGTAAATAGTATTGAATTCAACATGCATGTGTTCTATAGGAGTTGATAAAATAGAATGTATTCTATAGGAGTTGATAAAATAACTGCTTGCAAAGTCTCTGCTTAACTTGACATGGACCATCCACTTTGATCACTGGTAAGTATCTGATTTACGTAAGAAGTATTCAATATTCAAAAGCAAATCCTCTAGAAACAGGGTACCTCATTTTATTTAAAAGGGAATAGAAAGTCTTGCATAGGCACATCCTCCTGTCCTTTTTGTACTTCCCATAGATTCTCATATATTTAATTGTTAAAACTGTAACTTCTATAGTTTGACTTAAAAAAATGAGACTGGCTTCAAAAAGAACAATTAATGATCTTGGTGTTTCAAGTTTGCCAACTCTGTCCTTTACCCTACCACTGAGAAGTCTGTATTAATTCAAATTTACCATCCATAGCCCTTGATAAAATAGCAATAGAAGTTCCATGATCTAGCTATACATTGATAAGGTCCCAAGTGTAACCCAATAGCAAAAAACGAAAATAAAAACAAACCCTAAAACTATATGTATTCTATAGCCAGAAGAATTTTTGTCTATAATTTTTAAAATATAAGAAAAAAACATATAGAGAATCTCTAACAAATCTTAACCTGACACAAATGCTAATAGTTTACATATAAAAAATATAGATATATTAACCCCAAAGAAATAGCTCTGGGGTGAAAAAGAAAGATCTGATTTTCCTTTGTTTATTGTGCAGTACATTGAATAAGCAACTCTTTAGAAAAGGCAAATTCTCATGCCAAGATTTAATTACAGCTTAAATATTTAAAGGGTGCTCATAATATGGTTTCTCATAAAAATTTTACCTGTCTTGGGATCAATAGAGAAATAAGGTTGTCCCTGAAGAATACTGTAAACAACTCTGGCGCTGTTTCCATAGGTAGGGTCATCTGCATCTGTGGCTTTGACCTGGAGTACATATGCACCTGGAAAATGAAAGAATATGACTCTAACATCTTTTTTTTTTACGGACCTCAAGGTCAGATCTATTAATTGCTGGACACCATTTTCCTTTGGAATTTGGTATTACTCAATGATTCTGTCAGTATATGATGTCAGAGCATGACTTTTTAAACCAAAATGTTGAGTAGCATAGCTGTTAGTACAAGGATACACACTGCAGAGAATATTTTATAAGTTGTGTCCATTTCTGGTAGCTAGTCATTGAGTTGACGGTCATTGTGATAGCTTTATTGATTCACACACCAACAAAATAAAGTACTGCTTACATTATTAACATATCTGCTTACTGCAGATGTTTTATGGTTAAGTTTTCATGGTTACAATTTCAACAGAAAAGTTTAAGTGTTTGAAGTCTTACCCAAAATTTAGACAAAATTAGAAGGTGTAAAAACTTTGAAATTTAAGAGAAAACAACTAAATAATAGTTTGATGGGGGCTTTGGGTGCCTTGGTGGGGTGTATAGCGTGTTAACTTGCATCCGAAGGGGTATAACCTTATTTCTGTGATTCTCACACAGCACTGTAAACCAATGTGGGATCAATTTTTAAAAAAGCATTTAATTAGGCCAGAATACATGAGAAATTGAAGGACTGCTAATAATTATAATTATAGCTATAGTAGCACCTCTGAGTCTTAAAACCTAAATTAACCTAAGGGTTCAACACAGAAAAACATTAGAGACCAACCAAATTATTTGTAGCTTTTCTTAGTTTTTGAGAATCAGTTATTTGTGTACCAGGCAAAATTGAAAGGCCTTTTTTTCTGTATTTTTTCATATATTTATTATGATAACGCTCCTTACTAGTACTTTTTAAGTACCTCACTGTTTAGTTTGATGTCACTATTCTGAATTTAAAAAGGTGTAACCCAAAGTATCAAGCTTAATATAAATAAGATAAATATGTTACTAATGGTTGGAGCTAGATAACTACAGAACTGCTGAACAAGAGAGAGATGGGTAGGCCCAAATTTGCACAAAGGATCAAAACTTTTGTCTCAGAGACATTCAAAGTAACCGCTCAGCTTTGAGAATATAAAATTCTCTTTTACATTCAGTTCCTCATCAGACTTTTCTTCTTCAGCAGTACCTATGGGAATAAACTAAGTCTTAAATGTTTACTCTAAATGTTATGCAAATGAAACCTCTCTTCACCTCTACTTTTGCTTTAAATAAAAATAAGTGTTAGCGTCATGGGAAAAACAAGAAACTATAACTTTATATACAATATCAGATGTTTGGGCCTCCCCGGTGGCGCAGCGGTTGAGCGCTGGGTTGCGAAGCTGCCCGCGACCTCTGGGGCGCCGGTTCGATCCCCGGCTGCTCCCCGGCCACCAGAGGAGGGTCCCACATGGCGCGCAGACCCCTCCTGCCGCCCGCTGCTCCCCTCAGCAGTGTACTTCGGTCCTTCTGCCTGCTCTGCTCCCCGCTCTGGCTCTGGTGAATTCTCTCACCCTCCCACGCTTCTGACTGTACCCAGTGCATGTATAAACAAAACAAACAAACAAATAAATAAATAAAACATGCCTCTATTAAAAAAAAAAAAAAAACAATATCAGATGTTTTACTTTGAATGCTTTTGTGAATTCTAGCTATATTAACAGTGAAAATTTTATTTTGTTATTGAAATATTGGCCTTTCCCAAGAACGGAAACTTCTGCAAGAAAAGTAGGAGAACATTACTAAGAAGTCCTAAATGATCAACAGCATCAGCACTTATATTTACACGGTCATCAATAATTAATTGAACTTGGAGGACCTGAGCTGTTGTTAAGATTCATCAAAACTATATTCACTTTATGCTGTAACAAACAGTTGCAAGAAAAAATCCTCCTTGTTCATCCTCTCTTCCCAGCATGACTTTTAATCAGTCAACTGGATCTTTGCTATCACATTCTCACATTTGATAATATATTTAAGAAAAAAAAATATTGGGCCTCCCCGGTGGCACAGTGGTTGAGTGCTGGGTTGGGAAGCTGCCCATAGCCTCTGCAGCGCCAGTTCTATCCCTGGCCGCCAGCAAGGGTCCCACGTGGTGCGCAGACCTCTCCTGCCTCCCGCTGCTCCCTTCAGCAGTGTACTTTGTCAGTCTGCCTGCTCTGCTCTTCCCTCTGGCTCTGGTGAATTCTCTCACCCTCCCGCACTTCTGACTGTACCCAGTGCTTGTGTAAATAAATAAATAAATCTTTAAAAAAAAGATAAAAAAATTTGCTATTTTACTATATTTTCTAAGAAATATTTAGTAACAAAATTATAAACTTTTCCCTAACCCATACCATATTTACAGTAAGAAACACAAAGATGCGTTAGATGATATTTTCTATATTTCTAAAAATATTAATACGTACCTTTGCTTTGTGTACAGAAACAATACTTTCCCAAAAGTAGATTTGAATTCTTTATGTAAATCTTTTCTTTACTTAAAGCTCAAATATATAAAGGAGTAAAATAAGAAGTATTCCCATGAGTCATCAAAACTGTGGGTAGATATCATTCTATTCGACTTCATACACTACTGGATAACAAGAATTGTACTTATATTTGTTCAGTTTCATTTACATTTATCAAAAATGACTCTCTGCTTAGTAGAGTTTATCTCTGTTTAGTTAAAAAAAATTATACCCTATTGCAAATTTTTCAAAAATTCTAAGAGCTACCTCTTAGGTTTTACAAAAACACAATTGAACATTGTTTTGACAGCTTGTTTTGTTGACTGCTCCATGACTTTCACCAAATTAATGCAAAACACAGAAATTACACACACCCTTTACCAGGAAAACTCAGTTAATTGCCTGAAGAACATAAATCTCCAAACTGCCTTCCTTAATGCTTGTATTGCACACCAGTTCCTGACACTACTAAACATTGAAAACTCAACAGGCAGGAACAGGAAGCTGTGGTTGGGGTGTGTCGATGTGAACAAGGAGATAATATATTCAACAACACCCTCAAATACAGGAGCAGTCTTATGTTTTTTATGATGAACAATTCTGAATTGGGTAAATTCCCACTATTGGGATAGCTGTGTTAAAGAGCAAATGAATTAACTTGCTAACATATATTGTCAAGTTGACTACCAGCAACTGTGCTAGTTTACATTCCTACCAAGCTCATGTATTTTCTGACATTCTGATTAGTTTCCATTATTATGTGCATTTTTAATATTTTTGAGTGAACTTCAGCCTCATATACTTATTGGTCATTTTTAGTGTGTTTGTATGGGTGTATGTGTGTGTAGGTATGTAAACTGGGCTAATATTCTTAACCCATTTTACTCTGTTTATCCATCCATCTATGAAAAGCATTTACTAGTTTATTCTAAATTTATATATAGTTACTTTTTTTTTTTCTTTGTGGCCTCTTTAGTTGGTTTTCCTTGATATATGAATATCCACATGCACATATATGTATGTGTATATATATGTATATCTTAAAATATTATTCTATACTTGTGTTTGATGAGATTAAGTGATTTGATTATATCCCAATGCTAAAATTTATGTAATAAAAATGTGGGTTCTGCTGTCCAAAGCAGGCAAGGCAGCTGGCTTTTTATATTGCCTACTACTGCATGCATATGTGGCATGTAAGATCCATGATTCATTTATTTGACTTCATTGATAAATATCCAGATCAGGGAATGATTTTAGAAATAATCTGACACAGTGCTTACTTTTTAAAATTGAATAATTGAAGCCCAGTGATGTTGAAATCATTCTCATTATTACTAAAGCATATTGTCAGCTAAAATGACAGTGAAGAGGGGACAGAACTGGGTCCTGCTAACTCATGATTTCAGCTAAAGTATTAATTTATTGATTCTTTCATATCTTCTATCAGTCAAGAAATACTCAGTGCTATACACCATGCACGAGGCACTCCTCTTAACACACAATAAAAGTGATATGATACATTATTATTTATCCTGTCAAGCCTCTCTCTAACATTCCAATTTTATATTCTATGCTCTTCTTGCATTTGAGGTATTAAATAAAACAAACTTTTTAGAACTACTTTGAAAATATAAGTAGATTAATTTATGACCTCTATAAAATCTTTTTTTTTAATTTCACCAATGTACAAGGATAGTCTATTCATTGAATGTTCTTTGTATTTTTCACCCCCATGGTCTCAAATGATTTGGATTCTTACTCTCACTATCGCAAGGCTGAAAAGCATCCTAATTGCTTTCTCCTGCATCTCCTTTTCCCCAGGAGAATCAGAGTCATTGTCCCATAACAGAAGATTGATCATGTTACTTTCTTCCATTAAAAAAGCAAGTTAATATATTTAAAATAATGGATTTCTAGTGTATCAAAAGAAAAATCATCTAACTCACTGCCAAGCTATAGAGAGCTTGACTCATGGGTGTCAGTGTCCCTTGCAGATTAGTTTCCAGCTGTGCTGCCAGGGCCCCAAGCTGTGGTGCCACATATGTACTTACTGCTCATGGGGCTATCTCATACCTCTGTTCTCAGCCCCAGGTGATCCTGCTGTCTGGAGGACACTCACCCCAACCATCTGGAGAAATCCTACTGTCCCATCATGTCCCAATTCTGCTATCACTTTTGTCAATCCCTGTGTTTCTGCACCTAAGCAGAGAGCATTGCCCGCTCCTTTTTATTCCCATAGTTTTAGCACATCTTTATTTTTGAAATGCAATATATTGTGTGTTCTTCTCATGAACTGCAGAAATCTTTTCCATCAAGAGCCCTGCCAGTTTCATTCTTTGTACATCCAGTGTCTGTCATGAAGTTCTAAATGTTTATTTGTTTAGATGTATAGTATGTGTGTATGTGTATGTATATGTTCACATACATACACATGACACAAATATGTACACAATAGACTGAGTAGGCAACCTGGCATGACTTATGGCTTTGAGTCTTTTTTTAAATACTAAATTGGGATTTAGTCTTGGATTTTTTTTTTTTTGGTAGAGATTTATTTTTATTTATTTATGCA